GGTTCTTTTCTTTGCCACCCAAGAGGAGACAGCAGCTGTGTCCATACAGTCCAGCTACAACTGTACCCTGTGCAGCTCTACCCACTGGGCAAGAGCCAATACCAGCACCTATACCATCTGATCAATGAAACAGCCAACACCAGCCAAACCCACCACAAACATCGAACAGTGAACATGCTTCCATTGTCTAGCTACACCCTGAGGAGACAGAACCCAACAACAGACAATCATCAATAAAATACAATTATGACAACACCACAATGCCCCAGAGACAACAATTTTAGCTCACACAACGAAACGAGAGAATGGCTCACACAAATGACCAAGATGTAGGGTCAGAAAACATTTCTGAGGAAGAAAAGCTAATGAAACTAACTGAAGAATTCTAAGGAATGATATTTATGTACCTTCAAAGGACTGACAGATTAAGGAAAGCAAGGGGAACACAAGAAAAAACTTGATAAGAATTCAGGAAAACACTACAAGAACAAACATACAAAACAAATACAACTTGTTCGCTGGGAAGCCATCAAGGCAAGCAATCAAGTTTCTATAGGACAAACCCCCCTCTAAGAGTGAAACTCAAAGGAACACATGAGCAGGCAGGCATGTAAGCTTGCTGATGACCACATTGGTCTTCTGGTGAGTAGAAGACAGGGAAAGGCAGCAATGAAGAAATGGGCTGAGTTCAACCATGTTCCATAGACTCCTGCTTACCTGGAGATGAGAGAGAAGAGGAAGGGCTGGTTGGTTGAAAGTGTGGTGAGACCTGAGGACACCTGAGCCCATGGGCAAGGACATAGCCACAGAGGGCTAGAGTTGAAAGTGATGCATCCAGCTGATATGAAGTGAGGGGAGATGCACAAAAACACCCAAACTTGCAGATAGTACTCATTTGACCTAGCCTCAATGGCTTGATAATCAGAACTTGACTAGAGGAAGATAAAAAACAAAAAACAAACAAACCAAAAAAAAAAAACAATTTTTGATAAGGAAAACAAGGGTAAATTGCTACAATTTGATGAACTTGACTTATACTCATGGAGGTAGCAGCTCTATATACCAACAGAGAGGGAAGGAGTCTTCACATTAAGTATCACTGCTATCCCCTCTGTACATAGGGTAGATAAGGATAGGCAACATAGACATTGGCTACCTAAAATGAGGGGGTGGATAAAGGCGTGAAGTGATTGGCTTACAAGTTTTCAAGAGAGAGTTTAGTTTTAAGAGTGTGCAAGGGAAGGTAGAGTCCCTATTGTATAGTTTTCATCTTGTCTAGATGGGTCTGGTTAAAAGAGACGGAGTTAAGATTCT